CTTTAAGTCCGATGAGGGCAATGACAGTATCTGCCTGTTTCCAACTTAGTACCCACACCTAGCGATGGCACATACATAGTTAAGACTCTACATGTAGTTAATAAATGAATAATGCAAAGCAAAATCAGTTTTATGCTACCTTAAATATAATATGTTGGCCGGGCACGGTGGCTCACGCCTGTAATCCTAGCACTCTGAGAGGCCAAGGCAGGTGGATTGTTTGAGCTCAGGAGTTCGAGACCAGCCTGAGCAAGAGCGAGACCCCCGTCTCCACTAAAAATAGAAACAAATTAGCTGGACAACTAAAAATATATAAAAAAAAATTAGCCGGGCACGGTGGCGCATGCCTGTAGTCCCAGCTACTCAGGAGGCTGAGGCAAGGGATTGCTTGAGCCCAGGAGTTTGAGGTTGCTGTGAGCTAAGCAGATGCCATGGCAGTCTAGCCTGGGCAACAGAGTGAAACTGGCTCAAAAACAAACAAACAAACAACAACAAAATATATATATATATAAAAAATATATTGACTTCAATACAAAATCCAATATATATAAAATACATAATTTGATTTTCAAAAATATACATAGTAATATTATCCCTAATTATGATTCAAATGTATACTAAATCAAAGAAGACAATACAATAGATTTTAAATTAGCTCTTATCTATTAATGGGCATGAAGTAATTCCCTACAATAAAATACGTGAAAAATCTATAAATATAGGATGAGACTCATTGGTAAATTCATGTAGTTATAGTCAGATTTCTAAGTTTTCAGAAGAAACATCAAAATTAGTTTTAAAAAAACCCAAAGCACTTTATGAATTAATAGAAAAGATAATTCCCCAATACCCTAACAGAAATACTTGTATGTTACAAAGATTATGTAGCAAGAAAGGGAAAGAAAGAACTCACATAAGAAATATTTCAATGGTCAGTAGGACAAGACTTGAATGTGCAGAATGAGGTAAAAGGATAAAGGACTTTAAGGTTCTGTCTAATGGGAAGAAAAAGTAACTACAGAAATTTAGGATTTGGAGATATTTGGTAAAGGTAAAGTTAGCTCGGGACATTCTAAGTGATATGAAGACATCCAAACACAAATGTCCACTGGCGTGGCAGACAGAATTCTGACACGGCCCCAGTGGCCTGTGCTCCCTGGTGTCACCACCATGGGATGTTGTTGCACAGCAAAAAGGACTTCGCAGATGCAATTAAATTTACTAGCCGGTTCACCTCAAAACAGGAAAATTATCTGGGTAGATAAGTCAATCACTGGAGCCCTTTAAAAGCAAAGAATGTTCCCAGCTGGTAGCAGAAGGGAAGTCAGAGAGATCTGAAGCATGAGAGTGATTCAGCCTGAGGGAGGTTCTATTGCTGACATGGATGGGGCCCCAAGGAAGGACCTAAAGTAGCCTGCAGGGGCCGAGACCAATCCTCAGCCAACAGCCAGTAAGAAGACAGGGACCTCAGTCTTACCACTGCAAGGAACTGAATTCTGCTAACAAGGATCAACTTAAAAGTAGAGTCTTTCCAGAGCCTTCAGACCACAGCTCAGCTGGCCAGAGAACCTGTCAAGCCCACCTGGTTTTCTGACCTAAAGAATGCAGTGTGAAATAAGCAGGTGTTGTTTCAAGCCACTAAGTTGGTGGTGATTTGTTACACAGTAACAGCAAACTAATACAGTTAGCAACTGGAAAACCCTGAAGTACAAGTTTAAGAATCACCTACACAGAAACCAGAATAGATGAGCTCTCCCATGGAAAATATATAAAAGAAGGGAAACATCTGAAAAGGCCTTTAAGGATGCCACAACTAGAGTGTTTTTAAAAATGGCACTAACAGTACATGACTTAAAGTATACTTTAGCATTAAAAGCAATAATCTATTGAAAATGTGGAAATAACCAGACAACAAACATTTATTTCCTATCCCTTCATTTATCAACTTCCATAAGGCACTCTCACTCATGTGTACTGTCTCTTTTTTGAGGTTGCTATTTCAGTAATCTAAATAATTTTACATTTATCTACTCAGATACAAAGATTTACTTCATAAAGGAGGGGAAAAAATACAAATAAGGCAATTGAATTACCTCTAAAAGTGTGTTTGTAATATCTGAAAGAATGAGCTTTCATCTTGTGGTCCTAAAACTAAATTTCCTTGAGTCCCTATTACAGCTAATATGAATCTCCTTAACTTCTTAAATATAAACAGATGATTTTTATCTTAATTCCTATCAATAATATCTTCTCTGAAACATTCATAAAGTTTGTTTTTTTTCCCTAAGCCTTGTCTTACACTGGTATTTAATTGAATCAAAAGCTACAAAATCATTAATTACATAAAAGCTGGCATTGAGTAGCATCCATTAATCAAAACTAAGACAACCTCATATGTGCATAATTAATAATGGTATTTTGTCACTACATCAAAGACTATCGCCTTTCCACAAAATTTTAATCATTTTCCAACATATTCCCACATCGACTTAATTATATTTGAACACAAAGTTAGAAAACTAAGGCAATTTTAAGGCTTCCCAAGTTATAACTTATTAAGATTTGGTAACCCAAAAAAATTCCAAGGAAATGAGCCACTCATGCAACTAATATAGAATTCATCTTTGGAAAATCTTATGAAAACTGATGTAATTATTTAGGTTTTGAATGATTAAAAGAGAGACTTAAAGCAATACTACACAGATTTAACAAAACATCAAAGTTATCAAGGGCTTATTAGCACATCAGTCAACTACATACATATGGGTTTTAGGTCCTGCATGTGATTAAACCAGCTGATCATGCAGAGACCACAGCAATGAAACATACCAGCATAAGAAGTGTAAAAAAAAAAAAGAAAAAAAACCTCAACTCTTTAATTTGGTTTTGTTTTCCTAACTCATCAAAATGGAAACTCACCTAAGTTTTAAGTATTTAGCCACTAACAAAATGATTTCATTTCTCTCTCCTTGCTCTCCCTTGCCATTATATAGGTGATCTGATGCAGTTAATCATAACTCTCAGAACAAGATTTGCTGATAATCTCTTGTACTTAGTAAACTAAACAAATAATTCACACACTAGGTGAAAAGCAAAAGGTTGCCGGACCTAGCATTCCATCTGGCACTGTATGTCTCACAGATGATTTACAGGAAGGCACTGCTACCCTCTCTTGGGGGTTTTAGGGTGGGGAGCTTTTAAAAGAATTACAAATGTGTAGGCCTCTCCCCAGACTAAAGAAATTAGAATCTTTCATGTTGACCTGCATTTTAACCACGAAAGGGCAGAACTATACCCAAAACCTTTTTTTACTTTCCTTAATAATCAATTTAATGGTTTCAATCGCCTTTTGTAATAAATAAGTTCCAAGTTTACTGTAGTTGCTTTTGTTTTGCTTTAAATCCTTTTTTTTTAAAGCTTCTAAGGAATCTCTTTGGTAGAAAAATTCTATTTACAACTTTCAGCATGCCACTTTTACAGCTGCATTTTTTAGACAGTGAAATCAGAGTGTGTGTACACATATATATATACATACACATATATAGATATATATCTATATATATGGACATATTTTTTTTTAATTTTTTAAAGTTAAAAAAAACCACATGAGTTAGAACTATTTCTGAATGTTGGCAAACCTGATTTTGTACACTGGTAAAAATGTTTCAGTTTGTTACAGATTCTTGTCCTGGTGTGGTTTATAAGTATACTGATCTGGGCCACGTTTCAGATCTTCAGAAAATGTGGACTGGAACGGCTCCTGTCTCGAATTCCACACCTAGGCCATAAGGAACAGTTAAGAGTCCTTTTTACACTTGCCTGCATAGTTATGAAAGCCTTTTCTGTTCATTCACTCCATAAGACTTTCCTACATTTTAGCTACAGTTCATCACTCAGAAAAATCTGCTATCATCTAAAAGTGTGCATTGTCTCCAGAATTATTTATGCCATTAAATGAGAAATCAATAAGTCCCCCGAACTCCACTGGTAATAATAGTATTTCTTTATCCAGACAATTTATCATTTATTACAAAGAAATCAAATGACAACAAACTTTATGTCCCTTTTAGAAACAAGAGAATATTGTTCTAATTTTTAACAGGTTTCTTTTTCTTTCCTGCCCCACTGTTAGAAAAGGAACCACACTAAATGAGGACACAGGGTTGGCGTTATTCTTAAATTCAGAGCCAATTGTAAAGTGCTATGGGAAAAAGGGTGAGGGCCCGGCGCGGTGGCTCACCCCTATAATCCTAGCACTCTGGGAGGCCGAGGTGGGCAGATTGCTAAAGGTCAGGAGTTCAAAACCAGCCTGAGCAAGAGCGAGACGCTGTCTCTACTATAAATAAAAAGAAATTAATTGGCCAACTAATATATATAGAAAAAAATTAGCCAGGCATGGTGGCGCATGCCTGTAGTCTCAGCTACTCGGGAGGCTGAGGAAGAAGGATCGCTTGAACCCAGGAGTTTGAGGTTGCTGTGAGCTAGGCTGACGCCACGGCACTCACTCTAGCCTGGGCAACAAAGTGAGACTCTGTCTCAAAAAAAAAAATACTATATAAAATTGACTTCAGGCTATATGTATAAGGAGTATATGAAATAAATGAATTTCAAGTTTAGATTTGGGTCCCATGCCCAAGATATTTCATTATATATATGCAAATATTCCCAAATCTGAAATATTTCTGATCCCAAGCATTTCAGATAAGGAGTACTCGACCTGAAAATAATTTATACCTGTAAACAATTAGGCTGGTACCTCTCATACAGTGATTGCACAAATATCAGCTAAACTCTTCATACACAGATGCCCTAAGCTAACCACAGTAAGCATCACTAAGTCCTTGGACTACTTTTTATGCTCAGTAAGCTCCAGCAGATATAAATGGTTGCCACAAAGCCTGTCATTAGCACAGTTGTAAAACTGAGACAATACACTAAAGCCCTGGGACTAGCTAAGGCTGCAGTGTTTTATAGATTTGTGCAGAGAAGGGAAAACTTACTGTTCAGAGTCATAGTAGTCCATACGCTTCTTTCTCTTGTTGTAAGCTGCAACTCGAAAGGGAACTATTTCCAGGGTGATCAGACCAGGGGCCATTGTCAGCACTTTGGCGCCGTGCGTTGGCTCATAAAGATCCTTCCCCGTTTCTGGATGAGGCATGCCAGCAGGGTCTCGCCCAACAATGTAAAAATTAGCTCCTGCAACCATCCGTGCTCTGCAATGCCACTGGACCTAGAATTAAAGTTTTCATTTTAGACAACTATTTTTTATGACCAAGTACTTAAAAGTACTAAATGGATAATAAACACATATGCTTTTTATATAATCATTATCTATTGGTAGGAAATCTCAACAAATTTAAATGTATCATCTTAGGAAACCAAAAACAAAATTAGACCCAAAAAACCCCCCAAAACCTCTAAAACAGCATAAACATATGGATATATATATATGCATATATATGCATATATCAGTTACTTGGATACATAAATGTATATATGTGTCTATGTGTATAGTTTTACACAACTTCTAGATGTCACTTATACAGTTCAAAATCTAAGCTATGAGATTAGAAGTCTGGATAGCGGTTGACCCTTGAAGAGAAGCAACTGCAGCAATTGAAAGGAACTTCCAGAATGATGGAAATGTTCTGTTTCTTGATCCAGCATCTGAAGGCTGGTGATCGGGGTGTGCTCACTGTCAAAGTTCACTGAGCTGTATGTACACTTATGACTTATGAACTTTTCTCCATGAAATTTTTAACAGGTTAAAAAACTCTACTGGATGAAAATGACAAGTTATATGAGTACCCACCATAAACCAGTACTGATAAAATCATGAAACTAAGTGACTACTACCTGGTATTAGGTAAGAACAAAAAAAGGGGTTGGTTGTAAGTAAACAGCCATGCTGCATCCAAAACTAACTTTGAAGCCTGTATTTTCACATTAAGACCTATGGTTTAATATCAAAAATTAGTTAGTCTAACACCTAGAAATAGTGAAACTTTAGAGCTTAGACTAGACAAGACCATGTCTAGTTCAAAGCTCTCGTTAAAATTTGAAGAAAGCGAAGCCCTTAAAGGTTAAGTGACTCAGCCAATAAAGTTTAAGACAAACCCAGACCTAGAAATTTGATCTTAGCTCCCTTTCAGAGTAAGGCTCCATTGTTAGTGATTTACATAACCATTGCTGTTTTATATGAAAATAAGGTACAAATGATGACTACTACACATGAATAACCAAAACATCTTTTATTGTTTTGTTTTCATTTTATCTCCCTTAACAGTTTCTCTCATACCAGGCACTTAGATGTTTATCAATACAGTTTAGAAAGTGCAAGAGTAAGAGGACAACTCCATATCTCATACTTGCATTGCTTGCCTGGAGGAGTTTCAACTTTTTAAGCTGTTTCTGCTGGTGTCTACCTCCATATTTACAAACAGTGTGCTTATACTACTGCGTCTTGACTGTTTATAACATAGGCATTATTTCCACATCACTTAGATTTCCTACTATAAAACATGATGCTTGGCTCTCACTCCACTTTCCTTATTTCCCACCCCATTTACCCAGCAGATACAGTGATGTCGACAAGTTTGGTGAATAAACATTCATCTACAAAATAGGGATTATAATGACATTTATCTCATAGAATTTCTAGGAAAATTAATAAGTGAAACATGTAAGAACCTAGAATAGTACCTGAGGCACAGTAAGTAGTACACAATAAATGTTAGCTATTCTTATCTTTATTACTTTATTCCTCTCACCATACTATTTTTCCTAGAGTTAATGGTTGTTTTATCTCTACTTGCTAGTTTTCCATCTACCTGTGTTTCATATACCTTGTTCTATCCTTCTTCATGAGCACATAGTTTAATACAATTCTCATCTTTCCCTGCAACATGGCCACATGTCAAAGGAATGACAACCAAAGTGATATGCAGCACTTCCAAATGCTGTTCAATAAAAGTCCCCCTCCCTGACCACCACCCTCCTTCCATCCTAGTTCTTCCCCCACTTGCCAGTTGAATAGAAAGGACTTCAAGTTTTACAACTACTTCTTTTTCTATAATAGCATTGCTACTGCTTGCACTGAGCTGCAATACTTCTGTATGAAGATGGCAAAATATGATGCTAACAGATGTTTGTTCCCTACATATAGGCTACCTTTTCCTCCACCCACTGTCAGATTTAGCTCTTCATGAAAATTCTAGTCATTCCTTTCTGTCCCTACACAGCAGACACACAAAACCTCTGCTACTTCAGACCCAGAATTTTTATAAACGGGCAGTCAAAATTTTATCATCAATTAATCACTTTGTAGCTTCACTTAAATAGAAATCTTTTCTACCTCATGCATATTAGAAGCTGCTTACACTGAGTTAAATAAAGGGCAGCCAGATGCGGTGGCTCACACCTGTAATTCCAGCTACTCAGGAGGTTGTGGCAGGAGGATCACTTGAGCCCAGGAGTTCCAGGCTGCAGTGAGCTATGATCTCCCTATAGTAATCCAATCTGGCCTAGGCCCCATCTCTGAAGAAAAACATTTTTTAAATTAAAAAAATTAAAAAGGCGGGCGTGGGTCCACGCCTGTAATCCTAGACTCTGGGAGGCCAAGGCAGGCAGATTGCTCAAGGTCCAGGAATTCGACAAAGCCTGAGCAAGAGCAAAACCCCATCTCTACTATAAATAGAAAGAAATTAATTGGCCAGCTAATATATAAAATATATAATAAAAATATATAAAAAAACTAGCCGGCATGGGGTGGCGCGATGCCTGTAGTCCCAGCCTACTCGGGAGGCTGAGGCCAGCAGGATTGCTTAAGCCCCCGGAGATTGAGTTGCTGTGAGCTAGTGACGTCATGGCCACTCACTCTAGCCTGGGCAAAGTGGAGCTCTGTCTCAAAAAAAAAAAAAAAAAAAGGCGGGCGCGGTGGCTCATGCTTGTAATCCTAGCTCTCTGGGAGGCCGAGGCGGGCCGGATTGCTCAAGGTCAGGGTTCAAACCAGCCTGAGCAAGAGCGAGACCCGTCTCTACTATAATAAAAGAATTAATTGGCCAACTGTAATATTATATAAAAAAAAAAATTAGCCCGGGCATGGTGCGCATGCCTGAGTCCCAGCTACTCGCGGAGGCTGAGGCGAAGGATCGCTCGAGCCCAGGAGTTTGAGGTACTGTGAGCTAGGCTGACGCCATGGCACTCACTGTAGCCTGGACAACAAGCGGCCTGTCTCAAAAAAGAAAGAAAGAAAAGAAAAAATCAGCTGTGCATGATAGATGATGGCACAGGCCTGTAGTCCCAGCTACTTGGGAGGCTGAGGCAGCAGGATTGCTTGAGCCCATGAGGTTTCGAAGGTTGTGTGAGCTAAACTGCACGGACGCCTGCATCCCACTCTAGCCTGGGCAACAAAGCGAGACTCTGTCTCAAAAAAAAAAATTAAAAAGACAGTCTAAGCTCTCTGAACTTAAGTGAACTTAATTTGTGCATGTCTAGCAGGACACATTGATAATTAAATATAAAAAAAATTTTTAATTAAAAAATAAAAAAATATTCATGTCTATCATTCAAGTACCAAAAGGTTGATAAACTGGGAATGTATGTCTTAATTTTAATATGTAAGGAAGCTCAGATTATTTAATCCAATTCCTTTTGCCTTTTTAAAACAAAAAAGGAAACTAAAGCCCATAAAAACTGAGCACCACTATGAATCACAGAACATACCGGTAAATGGCCACCTCTAATTTCAAGTCTTGTAAAATTACCAGAAAATTGCCTCTCTGATCACTTCTAGAGGTTATATGAGTAAATTAAAGGTAAACAGATCAAACATGGAGTCAACCTTCTCCTGCAGGTGACTGCAATAATTTCTATTTACATTTTAATGAATGCTTTTCCTATGAGAAGACCTTTTAAATTTAACAGGTATGAATAAATAAAATATATGTATCTCTTCCAAGAATGCCTGTTATGAGTCAACTTATAACCTACTGAAAAGTTAATATGCTTTCAACAAGAAAATGTAAATCAGCCTTCAGAGATGGTGTATCTGGTTAAGAACACAGACTTTAGAGTCAGGACTCTAAGCCAGTCAGTAAGGGGCAAAGCTAGGGTTCAAATTTAGGAAACAGATTTGAACCCTAGCTTTGCCCCTTACTGACTGGCTTTAAGCAAGTTCCTTACACAAGTATTTTCTGAAAGCCTACTCTGCCTTTAAGCTAAAACCTAATTAAGTCCTCTTCTTTATATATGCATATCAAGAGATCTCAAACACCCCATGGACTATAAAGTAGAATTCCAGGACCCCATGGCCCAGCCAGTATCAAGAAGTACTTTCACTTCCTGACTCCATCGTGCTGCAGTCCTTCACAAAAGAACAGATGAAGAATGTCCCCTGGAAGTTTTTTTTTTTTTTTTTTAAAGGCGCTATGCTTTTCTTCTTGCTGAAATTCCTTTAGCCTTTTTAAAATTCAGAAGAAGCAAACATCAGACCAAATCTGTTAAAGGACAAGATCAGTGGTGTTGGAGCTGTACCTGTAACACAGCCAGTCGTTAGAAGAGGAGCTTGTGGCACCTCTTCCCAACCTCACCCAGCCCCAGCCCCGTCTGCAGGGAATGCTCCCTCTTTCACAACTGGGACCAAGACCCACAATAAGAGCAAGAGAAACTTCTCCCCATCTCTCAAGAAGGCTGCCTCTTTGGGGGTTACCTCTAGGGAACACCCCTGACAGAGCAGGAGAGCACTCCACGTAGGCTGAATACTGGGAACCAACCTACACATCAGAGAAAAATCGACAGGTCTGCTGCAGACACTAGCTGTGTTACTGAGAGTGGCTTTAATACTGCTGCAGTGAAAACCCGACTCTAAAGAGCCGTGTACCTCAGTTGGCCCAGCATACATCATGGGGGATGGGAAGATGGCCACCACCGTCGTCTCAGGACTCAGGACGCCTTCCTCCAGCACTGCAGCGTGCTGCTTCATCCGCCACATCAAGGGAACATCATCATCCTTCGTCCAGCCACCAAGAGGGTGGAGGAGGAGGACTGGGCGCCGGTAGCCCCTCTCCAGGAGTTGCTTATGCGTATCCTGCATTAACAGAGCATGTCCGTTGTGCACAGGGTTGCGTAACTGAAATGCAAAGACAGCATCTGAAAAGAGAGTTTCCACAGTTAAGAACAATGCATTTCTAATAGATTACCTTCCAAAGGATAAGAATTCTTTCTTGAAGCTTGATACTTAGAATTAAGCAAGCCTATGCATGCCCAGGGCAACATGACCTATACTTCTATTATACGATATTAACTTAATCTCACATATCTGAGAATATGTCATGGATTTATAACAATTACTTTCTCCATTCATGGGAAATGAGAATAATCATTAGATTTTCTGGTCCTAACATCCCAGTTAACTGCTTATAAAAAATATAAATTCTTGGTCTGTGCCTCAATTACCCACCAGATCGATCCCTCTATGGGACCTAAGACACTGCTTTATTACAGAGAGGCACAAAGGTAGAGGTACTTACAGTTCCAAAAACTTACTAACTATCCAAATATACTCATTTATACTGACCATTTTGCTTGACTAGAACCTGATTGTTTTGTGATGCAAGCCTGGATTTTGGATCACAGTTTAGCACAACGATATCCCTTTACAAGGGCCATTGCTGTTACTCAAACAATGGAAACTACTAGACTAATTAAGTGGGTTAACTCTCTATCTCCTGCTTACAACCCTGGCTTCCCTCCTACATGGTGTTTCCTACCAGGTGACCTTTCTTAGAAGGCATGGTTCTTTGCAGTACAACTTCCCAGAGCAGAGGGACAATCCGGTTAGGGGAGCCCTGTACTTCATTCCCTCACAACGCCCAGAACGTCATCCTGCCAGGTTGGTCCATGCTTGACTCAAAGGGAGGAACAGCCTCTGTCCTCTAATACTTTTTAAGGCAAATAGAAGAGGGTCAGAATTAAGAATAGACAGGTGAAGATGGACTATCACCAAGACAAAAGGCAGAGGAGGAAGCCAGTGGCACGCTGCTTCCCCAGGAACTTTTGTTCTGCCATGTCCTATAACAGCCAAGGTTACAGCCTTATCGCTATTCCTGGAAGTTCTCAAGTTACCTTTTATACATGAACAGGGCTGGTTTCCACACACAAAGGAGCTGATATGGCATAGGTACAAAGAACAAGAAAGCCTTTTTATTTTTATTTTTTTTATTTCAGCATATTACAGGGGTACAATGTTTAGCTTACATATATTGCCTTTGTCCCACCTGAGTCAGAGCTTCAAGTGTGTCCATTCCCCAGACAGTGTGCACCACACCCATTAGGGGTGAATATGCCCATTCCCTCCTCCCCTCCCACCTGCCCAATACCGATGAATGTTATTACTATACGTGCACTTGTTAATTAGTTAATACCAATTTGATGGCAAGTACATGTAGTGCTTATTTTTCCATTCTTGGGATTTTTCACTTAGAAGAATGGGCTCCAGTTCCATCCAGGATAATACAAGACTGTTTGCTATATCATCATTGTTTTCTGTGGCTGAGTAGAACTCCATGGTATACATATACCACATTTTATCAATCCACTCATGTATGGATGGACACTTGGGTTGTTTCCACATCTTTGCAATTGTGAATTGTGCTGCTACAAATATTTCAGCGCAGATGTCTTTTTTACAGAATGTCTTTTTTGCCTTTGGGTAGATGCCCAGTAATGAGATTGCTGGATCAAATGGTAGCTCTACTTGTAGCTCTTTGAGGTATCTTCATATTACTTTCCATAGAGGTTGTAGTAGTTTGCAGTCCCACCAGCAATGTAGGAGTGTTTCTACCTCTTTGCATCCACGCCAACATTTATTGTTTTGAAACTTTTTGACAAAGGCCATTCTCACTGTGAGCATATAAAATTATCCTGCTTTGAAATGGGAAGAGGAGAACAGATCTGAACATTTTTCTAACCTTCTGAATTCACTTCAAATTCAGTTTTGCATATGGATATAAAAGATTCCAAAACCTTTCTTCTGACCATCAAGTAGAACTCTAGAGCGCCCCACTCCCCACAATCAAGAAGCACTTTTACTTCCTGACTATATCATACTAGTCTTTCAAAAAAGAACAGATGAAGAATGTCTCCTGAATACAGGAGTATTAATATTCTTTCATAAGAGTATTAATATTACTTAATTTGGGGATTCCTGCCTGAACTTAATCTGCCATTCTGATTCTGGCCTAAGTCTCATGACTTGGTTTAGTTCTCTCCTCTCTCATCCCTTCATTGCATACCACCCACTCTTTATGAACAGTGTGAACCACAATGTCACCCAAGCTAAGCATTAAGGACTCCTGCTCCTAGGCTGATGTAAATCACTGCTCTGGGAGGGGACGATGTCTGGCCCAGCCCAAGTCAGCAGCACCTGGGCCAAGGAGACTCACGGGTTCTTGGGGCCAACAGGGAGGGCCGAGAAAACAGCCCGTGAGACTGGGAGACTGCTTACACACAGGAAGGTAGTAGAAATATGTCAATATAATGAGGGTAATGGGAGCCAGGGTCTCACTGGAGGAGAAGGCAGGCATAAAATAGTGAAAGGAGCAAGGCTAGAATAGAATTGAAAAGATCAGTATGACCTCATGGTTTTCAGCTATATAGACAGATGAAAGAATATATACAAATGTGCATAAGCGTATGTATACGTGTATGTGGGTGCACACATATAGATACACATCTCTTCTTTGTTTTGTCCATTAAAAGGTCCTACAAGCAATGACTGCCCAGTGGCACTAAGCAAAACTAAAGCCCAAATTTTGCATTCTAAATCCCATTCCCCATTTAAGTGAACCAGGGCTCCTCGGCAACCGGCTGCTTTTAGGGCTAGAGCAAGGAAAATAAAACTTGAGTTGGAACACCTTTTTGTGCCATTAAGAAACAGGGTGCACAAAGAATGACGAGGACACACCAAAAGGACACAACCACCAGTGTGGCAAGGCCCCAGCAGCCAAACCCAGGACCAGGTAAATATCAAAGTATAATGAATAGTGATAGTGCTGGATTGTAACTGACTAAGACAGGAATCTGTAAGTCCATAAAGAATAAAATAAGGCCAGGAGTGGTGGCTCACGCCTGTAATCCTAGCACTCTGGTAGGCCAAGGCGGGCGGATTGCTCGAGGTCAGGAGTTCGAAACCAGCCTGAGCGAGACCCTGTCTCTATCATAAAAATAGAAAGAAATTAATTGACCAACTAAAAATATATATACAAAAAAAAAAATTAGCCGGGCATGGTGGCGCAAGCCTGTAGTCCCACCTACTTGGGAGGCTGAGGCAGGAGGATCACTTGAGTCCAGGAGATTGAGGTTGCTGTGAGCTAGGCTGACGCCACGGCACTCACTCTAGCCTGGGCAACAAAGTGAGACTCAGTCTCAAAAAAAAAAAAAAGAAGAAAATAAATAAATGAGGCCGGGTGCGGTGGCTCACGCCTGTAATCCTAGCACTCTGGGAGGCAGAGGCAGGTGGATTGCTCAAGGTCAGGAGTTCGAAACTACCCTGAGCAAGAGTGAGACTTCGTCTCTACTATAAATAGAAACAAATTAATTGGCCAACTAATATACATAGAAAAAATTAGCCGGGCATGGTGGCACATGCCTGTAGTCCCAGCTACTCGGGAGGCTGAGGCAGGAGGATTGCTTGAGCCCAGGAGTTTGAGGTTGCTGTGAGCTAGGATGAAGCCACGGCACTCACTCTAGCCTGGGCAACAAAGCGAGACTCTGTCTCAGAAAAAAAAAAATAAATAAATAAATGAACAAACCAATGGGGAGTAGCAGCAGCTCTACCTTATGATAGAGGGACAACCATTAAATGTAGCCGAGCACCGTGGCTCACGCCTGTAATCCTAGCACTCTGGGAGGCAAAGGACAGTGGATCACTCAAGGTCAGGAGTTCGGAACCAGCCTGAGCAAGAGCAAGACCCCATCTCTACTAAAAAAAAGAAAGAAATTAATTGTCCAACTAAAAATATATAGAGAAACTTAGCCGGGCATGGTAGTGCATGCCTGTAGTCCCAGCTACTCGGGAGGCTGAAGCAGAAGGATCACTTGAGCCTAGGAGTTGGAGGTTGCTGTGACCGAGGCTGACGCCACGGCACTCACTCCAGCCCAGCCAACAGAGTGAGACTCTGTCTCAAAAAAAAAAAAAAAAAAAAAAACAACTATTAAATGTAGAAAGAACAATGGAATTTGAAAATCACCACCTGGAAGTACTGCAGCATGCTGAAACCAGCAGATAAAAGTTCAAGAACAATGATATTTCAGAGTTTCAAAGTCTCTCCCTTCAAATACTTATTAGTTAATAAGTACAAAATCATTTGTTAACTTTATAGTAGAAAAACTTGGCAAACATAAATTAAACAAGTGATAGAAGTTTATTTTTAAAATGAAATTAACTTTATCTATAATAGGACAACCAAAACTGTGAGCCACCTACTAGGACGCACTGAGAGCACAGCACTGCTCCTGCTGTATTCCTGACAAAAACTGGTAACCTGGATCTAATCTAAGGCAACAGTAGATAAACCCAAACTGAAAACCACCACAGTAAATGACACGTAGTCTACAAACATGTCAAGGTCGTAAAAGATGAAATAAAGGCTAAGTGACTGCTCCAGACTGAAGTAGACTAAAGACACATGACCTAGATCCTGAACTGAAAAGGACAGATCGTAAAGAGAGAGACTGTTATCATTTGTTGGTTTTGTAATAAAGGACACCGTTAGGACAATGACATGATTTAAATGGAATATATGGGTCAGATCAGTTATGCCAACATTATTTTCCTAAATTTGACAAACATAGTGTGGTTAAGTAGAAGACTGTCCTTATTTTTAGAAAATACATATGGAAATATTAAGGGACAATGAGGCTTAATGTCTGCAACTTCCTCTCAAAGAGAGCGAGAATGAGAAAGCAAAGAAAGCATAATGCTGATGTTTGTGGTATCTGGGTGAAGAATATACAAGAGCTTGTGGTACCATTCTTATAATTTGTCTATAAATGTAAAATTATTTTATAACAAAGAATTTAAAAAGTGAAAAACTAAGACAGGAGACATAATGAATTACAATGTATGAATCTTATTTAGATCCCAATTC